CATCTTATAATTTTCATGTCATCTTTTTTACAATATGGTTGCTAATTACATAGAAGTGATAAAATTTAATACTATATTTTTAAATATATAGTAATTTGTTTCTTATAAAAGTTATCACCATGTTTCAGTTTCACGGCTTGAATCAAAGATTTATAAAAACAAAAAATGTTTATCATAGACCATTGGAATTAAACAGATATGATTATGCTCGAGTGAGTAAGTTGTTTCTTTACATTGACTGCATTTCAATACATATATTTGACTTCTTTTAATAACATATGCTGAGATTATTCACTTTTTTAATAACATATGCGTACGTTTGGGTGTTGGTTTTCTGATCGAAGTGGAGAAAGTCAAAGCTTGAAGATTATTTGAAAATGACCAGATCAATTTTCATATTGAACTTTTGGTACCAAAAAGAAATATATTGTTTTAAGTCGCTTGAGAATATGTAAGTTAAATGCTATGTTTTGACGTTGAATGTACATACATGTAATGACCTTTATCTAAAGAAAATGTATTGCAATTTTGGTACCTAAAGGAATTAAGGGAATATATTGCAATTTTAGTTTGTATTTTAGGGTTTTATAACAATTTAGGTCCTTGTCCGAAGTAAATTGACTATAATTTTATAACAATTTTTAACTTATTGTAATTTTATAAATATGTTTAGCTTTTGAATTATAATGCATGAGAGAACTAAACAAGAAGAGGAAACAATTTTTAACTTATTGTAATTTTGTAATAGGGCCCAAAGGTTGCCATTAATACCAATGAACTTAAGAGTGCTAGGCTAGAAAATCACCACACCGTACTCATAGGCAAATTGTGGTAAAAATGATAAAAGCTTGTGTGGCACCAAATTTTTGTAGGCAAAAACATTACAACACCCATCAACCTAATATCACTTTTTTTAACTAACATTGTGTGTGTAGGTGGAATGTGACTAGAGGTTCCCTTTCTTATTTTCTTTCTTATACTCTTCAAATAGCAACATACTTTCTTCAATTTTTATAGCAATAACAATGTATATTATAACATTTTCAAGAACTGACAACATACTTTTTGGAGATTTAATAGAATTAGCAACAAACTTCTATGTTATAAATGGAATTATATGTTAACACTCTAGCGGCAGAATGGTCATTTTTTATAGGGGCAACATGGTTATTTTATGTTTAGGGGCAGATTGGTCATTTTCTGTAGCATCTTACTTTACTTATATGTTTCTCCTCAAACGACTCTCAACCCAATATGCGTTCTATATGCAACTACATAACTGTTATGGCACACTAACAAGGGACAAATCAATATACAGTTTTTTAAAAAGTCAAACAATCATAAATGAACAACTAAATAACAAACGTCAATTTTTTTGAAGATTTTAGAGAGTTAAATAGTCTGGTAAACAAACCGAAGTCAACCTTGAATATACAAAATCCAACTTGCAGAAATTTGAGTAGATATGAAAGTACAAGTTTTGGGGACTAACATGATTTCCTTAAACAATCTTTTATTAGGTTGTTTATAGAAGACAAACAGGCTTATATTGTTACAGGGTTGTAATAGGAACAATTTCTTGTGAGCTTTTGTTTATGTTATTTATATTTGTTTATAGAGTTGTAAGAGCCAAAAGAATCTAATGTTTATAGATCATTTGAAGACTTAGAATACATTATTTAGTGCAACTGAACGTGAAACACAAGACCTTCTTAAAAAAAATCACATTCGATCTATAGATTAGAAACACAATTAAAACCGCAAAACTGACCATGTACATCCGCTACTTGTTCTTTGGAATATCAAATGCTCCTGAAGATAAACTATTCTGTAACACCCAAAAATTCAAGCCAATTTAAACTTTTTAAAACGTTTTAATCCATTAAGTCATTACATAGTTTGTTTTCAAAATACAGTTATCAGAGTATCCCAGTATCAAATCATAAAAGTCAAAACAGCGAGAGGAGCGGCACGATCATGCCTTCGCCTTCCCGCGATCACCAGAGGTACCTGAAACAAAAACTAAAACTGTAAGCCTGAAAGCTTAGTGAGCTATCCCCCAAAATACCAACCACATAACCATGCCATATAAACATATAACCAAACAGCAAGCATAATGAGCCTTCAGCCTGACTGGACCGCCTCGCAGGCCTTCAGTCTATCTGGACCGCTCTCCGAGCCTTCGGCACGTCTGGACCGCCTCGCGGGGCCTTCAGCCTATCCAGACCGCTCGCCGGGCCTTCGGTCTGACTATCATACCCTCTTGGGTTTTGTAGTCTATCCGGACCGCCCTGGGTATGTTGGCCTTCAGCACAAAGCAGGACCGCCTCAACCCAACACCCAAATCAAACAACATGTGCATATACATTCATAGGCTATCATAATAACATACAAACCGACCAACACGAACTCCACCACCTATAGTTACCATAAAACCCTTTTTCATAAATTTTCAAATTACCAGAATACCCTCAGAAGTCAACCGGTCAATTCTTGGTCAAAGTCAAAGTCCACAGTCAAAGTCAACAGTCCATGTTGATTCAACTCGTCGAGTGTAGTTTACCGACTCGTCGAGTCCTTCCTGAATTCGAGAAGTCGTGAAATCCTTGATTGGCTCGTCGAGTTCCCCTTTAACTCGCCGAGTTCATACGTGTCCAAGAATTGGGAGAAACCCTAGCCGACTCGCCGAGTCTTCGAACGACTCGCCGAGTTCAAGGCAATCTTCAACGGACTCGCCGATTTTGTTCATCAACTCGACGAGTTCACGACCATCTTCATATGACTCGTCGAGTTGACTATGCAACTCGCCGAGTCCTTGCAGACCTTCATCCATGCAGACACTTTTTAAGCCATGCCAAGGTTCCAGATTACAGATCCAAGCTTCTAAGGCATGTTTAACACGTAAAATTGCAAACTTTACACACATACAAGGCCCTAAAGGCTCTAAATGACCAATCTAAGCTTCTAATGGAGCTTTACACCATAGGAGAGTCTCATCCTTGCAAAAGCTGGAAACTTTATGCACTTAGGACTCAAAAGAGGTTCAGATCTGAAGTTTCAACTTCAGATCTAGCTCTCATACCAAAATCCCTTCATGAATAACTAAAGAAAGCCCTAGTTTTCACATATGAATGATTCTAGAAGAAAAAGAGGTTAAGGTAACAGTTAGTTACCTCCAAAACGTGCCCAAACTGAAGTAGACTCTGGATCCACACGGAAATCTTGATGCTAGCCTCTTGATCTACAAGTTTCCTTCACAAAAGTCACTCCCCAAAGCTCCAAAACACTCTCCAAGCTCTCACTCACAGCAATTAGGGTTTCTGGGTCTCAAGAGGGTGATAGAGGACAGTGGGAGGCGCTATTGGTCCAATATATAGGGTGCAAAAACCCTGAAAATTAGGGTTTCCACTGCCAGCTCCTACTCGTCGAGTCCCATGCCGACTCGACGAGTCACTCATTAATTGACGTATCTTGGTCCGCTGCTACTCGACGAATCATAGCGTCAACTCGTCGGGTAGACTTTAAAACATGAAATCTAAATGGAATAATAAGGATACTTGACAGTTGGGATGTTACATATTCGTTGTCGCCGGTTTGGAAATGAGTTGTTACTATGTAATTTTTTTCCTTTTTTTTTTTTTTAATTTGGTCATTTTATGTTTTGTAAATCGGTTAATATATAATGGTTTTTATGGTTTGATCCGATAGCCGTAAGGAAACTATTCACCAAAATAAATTAATCTTTGTCCGAAAATTCGTCGCCGCCGCTTTACACGGGTAGACTACTAGTATATTCATATTTAAATAAAGTTTAAAAATCCAAATTTAATGTCTTAATATTTTTTTAGTATCATGGATTAGGATTTAGGATATGTATACTTACTACATAACAAACTTTTTATCTTAAATGTCACGGTGTAATATTTTTTTTTGAACGGTTGAATGTATTAACATATTATTTTCAAGTTATATATATATATATATATATATATATATATATATATATATATATATATATATATATATATATATATATATATTTCAACATTTAGTATCAATTTTGAAAGAAATTTTTTTTTTTTTTTTTGTGTCATTTTTTTTTAGTCTAAAACGATATCATCTCATATAATCAAATAATGTCATATTACTTATGCATTGTCACTAGTAAAAATTGTCACTAGTAAAAATCGGCAATTTAGATTCTCCTGTTAAAAAAAACAAAACAAAAAACAGAATCTCAAAATCATAAAAAAAGGAAGACATGATGACTTTTTATTTTATTTATTTTAACGGCGGACGGAGATATTATAAAAAAAGATAGCAAGGCACTAGAAACGGATACTTAGTACAAATAATTTAAAAAAAGTTACAGCAATCAAACCATCTTAAGATATTAAAACCAACTCTATGTTTTATCCGACTAAAAGAAACAAGCTCAACATGATGACTTAAATATAACACTTTTAGAATATGTGGGTGTATTTTTTAATATTTGCTTATAGGGATGAACATTTGGACCCGGGGAACCGGAACCGGATATAACCGATCGGATCGGGACCGAGACGATATTCTTGTCGATTTTTAGAACCGGAACCGGTAGAACCGGCAAAAACCGGAACCGTATGTTGCTATTTTTCAAGGATCGGTTCCAACGATCTGCCATCGAAATTGAAGACGGGCTACAGGCTACAAAACCACAGCCCGTATGATTAAACCGAAGACATGTCCCATAAAGGCAAAAAACCAAATCCGACTAGACGAAACCATAGCTCATTTTTGGTTTTGATACTATTTTTTGACAAAAAAAAACAAATTAATTTTTAACTATATTTTGCAAAAATAATTAACAAAAAATGCGTATCTACTTTTTTCGCTAATTCAGCGTTTTTGATTTTGTGAAGACCATTACACACGTATAGAGTCTATAAGTACGACCTCGTCCAATCTTCCCTCTCATCTTCAGCTCTTCTTCACAAATTTCTTTCTTGCGTTCTGATTCCATGGACGGATGTTCACCCCCCTCATCCACAGGCCCACGCGCCGAGACTACTTCTGACTCGCCGGTCAACGACTCATACAACGACGCCGATAAGGGCCCCCAGTCGTTCTCCGATTTTAATTCAGGTCGGCCGGATTCTTTTACCCAAGATCAACCTCATACGAGGGGTAAAGATGGCGATTCCGGTATGAAACGACTGCCGACCATCAAAGACGTGGCTCCAGGCCGTGGGCAGTCATATACAGCTCCATCGGCTGACGCCGGAGACGCTAACCGTGGGTCTGTTGTTGGTGATATTTACGACGGCCAGAAACCGAAAACGGTCGGAGATCTCGCGGCTGCAAACAAGCACGATTCCGGCACTATTGGTACGTATCCGTATGATCAGGAAGGTAAAATTCCGACGAACAGTGACATGCGACCATACATTAACAGTTCCGGCGGTCAACAGGGTGGTAATCAGTTCATTTCGGGTCCAAAGAGTTACAACGGCGACCACTTTGGGAAGTATACCTGGTGACCTTGATTGTTAATGGCGATTCCGGTGTTAGTTTTATGCTGTTTTTAGTTCTCAGAATTGTATGAATGATCGGTTTACCTTTCTTTTGTGTGTTGAATTGGAAATTTATTTCTTTAGCGATAATATAGATAATATATTAAAAAGGATAATGAGTTAAGGGTAATATTTTGTTTTTGTATATGAATATTGAATTTGTTTGTATTGTTTATAAAATATCACTATTGGTTTGTGTATATGTTTTGTTTTTTTTATGCATTTTTGTCGCTTATGTTTTGTTTTGTACAAGTTTACTCACTTTTAAGGTGTATGGTTACCACCAGCCTACTCAAAAAGTCACGTCACATCAGCGCCACATCACCTCCACTACAAACCCACTAACTTTTGGAAATGGTTACCACTCAACATCATTTTTATTTTTCTTTTTTATATTTTTTTGACAATATTAGCTTAAATTAAAAAATAATTATTAAACAAAAAAAAAACATAAATATTAATTAAAAGCATTTTACATTAATTTAAAAACTAGAAAATTTAAAAGCTACAATACTTAAAAAAAACATAATCATCTAAAACCTAAATTATTTAAAAAAAAACCATATAAAAATATTACTCGTCGTCCTGCTCGTCGTCATCCTCGTCGTCATCTCCGTCGTTGTCAACGCCATCGTGTTGCCTTTGCCATATATGCTCAGTCAAATCATAACGTAAATTGTGATGTGTTTCATTATTTTGTATTTCCAAAACTCGTGTGAAGTATGCAGGGTTGCCGACTTGTATTACTGCAGGTGGGTTAAGAATATCTTCCGGATTATACATACACATAGCCCTGCCCTCTTCTTCAATTATCATGTTATGTAAAATAACACAAGCAGTCAACACCTTCGTTAATTTCGCCATATCCCATGACCGTGTCGGATGTTTGATAATGTGCCACTTTTGTTTGAGGACCCCAAACGCCCGTTCCACATCCTTCCTTGCCGATTCTTGTGCTTACTTGAACAATTTTCGTTTTTCATCGGCCGGAAATGAGTACGACTTGACAAACGTAGCGTACTCTGGATATATCCCATCACCAAGGTAATACCCATAATTATATTGATGTTCATTCACAACAAACGGCATGTTTGGTGCTTTACCCTGCAAAATATCATTAAATATCGGAGAGGCTCCAAGCACATTCAGGTCGTTGTTTGACCCCGCCATACCAAAGAATGCATGCCAAATCCATAGGTCATGTGATGCAACGACCTCTAGTATAATAGTCGGGACGCCTTGATCACCTCGTGTGAATTGACCTCGCCATGCATTGCGATAATTTGCCCACTCCCAATGTGTACAATCAATACTGCCAAGCATTCCTGGTAAGCCATGTTTAGCTTCATGTGCGGCATACAATTGTTCAATATCATTTCTAGTTGGATGTCGCAAATATATGTCACCATAAAGCTCTATGACATACTCACAAAAAAGATAAGCACATTCTCGTCCAGTCCTCTCAGACATTTTCAAATACTCATCTGAAGCATCTGCTGCTATGCCGTATGTCAATTGTCTAAGGGCTGCTGTGCATTTTTGTAGGGTACTAAAACCACATTTACCTCTTGCATCTCATCTTAATTGGAAAAACTCATAATTGTTTTCCAAATCTCTAGCAATACGTAAAAATAAATTTCTACTAATACGAAATCGGTCTTCAAATTTTGATAGGTCATACAAACTATCAGGGGCAAAGTAATCACGTACCAAAAGCTCGTGTGCCGCCATACGATCCCGATATATCGAAATTCTATGCCTCTTCTCGGTATTTGAACTTTCACCTCTTTGTTGCACCCTATTGCGTGCCGCAAACAACAACTTGTGCAACACCAAGTCATCTTCATCAGAGCTTTCATCATCGGATGAAGAAGAAACAATCGAACCCGCAAAATTATTCATATCTATGTTTGAAAGGGTGTTTGAAAGTGTGAATGGAAATGTGTTTGTTTATATGTTGTGTATGTATTTATATATGTGTATTAAGTTTTGTTTGAATATAATTTTTTTATCTTGGTAACGGTCAAAAGAAAAGAAAGAAAAAGAAATGGTCAAAAAAAATGGTCCACCAATCATTTGTCGTCTTCCTCCGTAGCCAGCTTCACGTCACAAGACACCTACCCCCATTGGGGCGGTGTTCACGCGTGGCTAGGGCTGCCACGTAGGCAGCACGCGTAGCCTTCCTGGCTTGATACTGGATAGCCTTATATTTTGTTTTATACATGTTTCCTCGTTATGTTTTGTTTTGCAGGCGTCTTGTTAGATGAACACATCAATTTGGTTCTTAAACTTTTGGAAAAATTAAATACATGATGAATATACACATGATGAGTGCCTATATATACACCAAAGGCAAAACATAAGTGATTAAATATGTATAAAAAAGACAAAATGTAAGTGATTAAATATGTATAAAAACAAAACATAAGTGATTAAATATGTACAAAATCAAAACATTATTGGTTGGAAAAAATACATCAATTGGTCAAAATGATATTTTACGAACAATCCAAACATGTTAACAATAATTGTTATATGTGTGAAAAAAAAAACATAAATAACTAAAATGTATACAAAATGAAAAGCATATTACCCTAAGTGGCTATCCCTATATTAAAATGACAAATTTCATATTTTCCTGTATATTAAAATGGTAACATTCATCTTTCTATACAAATTTTCTATCTTATTTGTTTTTTTTTGTTTTTTTTTTGGAAGTGTGTTTAAAGTCACAATTGAAATTCTATAGATAACGAGAAAATTAATATGTACAAAGCTCAAGTATATTCAATTTTGGAGCATGTTATAAGCTTTAAGTTGTGTCTTGAGACTTGACTTTTTCGGTCATCCTTCTTTATAACAGTTGTGTCTTGAGACTTGACTTTTTCAATCATCATTCTTTATAACCAATAATAAAACATCAAAGCAATAGATAAGGTGCATTTATCTCATCATATACATGTATCTTAACAGTTTGTTTGTTTTTTTGTTTATTTTTATTTTTTAAAGGCTCCTAATTTAATCCTAAACTATATTAATGTTTCTAATGAACTTGAATCTTCAACTTTTTCACAGAGGGACATATTTTCCAATCTCTACTCCTAATAAAACCTCTCATTGAATCAACTTGTCCAACTTTTAAACTAACAACCTGCCACGTGGCATTATGTGAATCAATTAACACAAATTTTCCCGCCCATATACACATTTCGTCAATCCATATTGAAAATTGAAAATTCCATATTCTATATTGAAGATTATGTATCCCTTAAATTCAGCAGTCGAAATTGATGCTGATCAGTTTAGATTATATCAGTTATTATCTTACCAAAATTACGTGTAATGTTTTTCAATTTTCAATTATCTTCAAATCTTCCAATTCAAATATACCATAAATCCCTGAAAATCAGGTTCAAAATAAATGCATATGCATATATTGATCATTATCAGTTCCTAAAAATCGGTTTTATTTGCAAAGAGTATTATAATTCAAACAATCTTTGACGAGAGAATAAAAAAAACATGCTTGATGCAACTAACGAGGATGGTTTTTTAGGCTACGATAATGATGTTAATTCGTGGTGCGATGGAGTTCCGTATATCCCTGGTGAATTGAAATCAAATTTGGGTTCAGTTTCGTTAATGAAATCTTCACGAGACCGTGTTGCTGTTCGCCTTAAGGTTTACTGATAACAAGAGTTTGAAAAAGCGTGGGAACCTGTTTTCTGATAGGAAATTAATATCTAAAAGACAGTGTCTCGAAACAGGGTATCAGAGGGGGTTTTAACAATGATGCAAGTTGAATTTATACCAGTTCACCTGGCTCTGCAAGTTTATTTGGTAATACAGTTGATAAAAGCCACGAGAGAGCCATAGAGACGTTGAAGAATGAAAAAAAGAAGGGTTTTTATGGAGTTGAATATTTTGTTACCGGTGATATTGTTTGGGTAGAATGCTCAAATCGGTTCCCAGCTTGGCCAACGATTGTAATTGACCCACTACATGAAGCTCCTAAATCTGTACTAAGGGCTTGTGTTCCCGACACTCTTTGCGTCATGTTTTATGGGTATTCAAAGAGAGGTCAAAGAGTAAGCTTTCTATGCTATCTGGAAACAAGGTATTTCTTGTGTAATTATGTTCTTTTATTTTGTTTTAAAAGTTTTAAAGTCTTCTTTGATTCTGATTCCGCGATTCGGGTCGTTGAAACTAATAATAATGTTTTGGGACTCAGAGAAAAGAATCAGATACCTTTGAGCTCTAAGAGAAGGAAAAACATTATGTTGGTCAAATATCTCAACCAAAGAGACTATTCATTATTATTGATTAAATCATTAATTCCATTATGAATTAACTTAATTTCTTATAGAGTGTTTGGGATTCTAGATTTGGAAGTGGCTTTTTTACACCAGAAGCTTAAATATTAGGATCAATATGGAGTTGTACCTGCCGATTGCCATTCTATGACGTGATTATGATTTTTTCATACATGAGATCGCATGACAAAACTTTCTTGGAAAGTGGTATAAAGGAAATTAAAACATATCAGATTATATAGTATTGAGTTCAATTATTTATGTAGGTCATTAAATGTTGAATTCTTACTAGAATTCCTGGTTACATGGTCTACTCTTTCATGCATTATTAGTTTTTTTTCTCTTTTTTGATTGATAACGTTTTTATGAGAAATTTTTATGTAAGTCTAAAGTGCAAGAGCCCTCAATATGAAGATGAGCATAATGTAAGTGTATTGCTTTTATGGGTAAGGTGTTGTAAGTACGTTGTTATTGTGTAAAATTCTGTGATTTTGAAATTTTTTATGTAATGATTTCATTAGGTACTATGAATTAGAACGAGATCGTTCCTTCAAAGGTTTGATTTTATTAAAGGATTCAGGATTGATTTTACCTTGTGTGTGGCTGTAGTCATTTGAATTGAAATTCACACATAAGAGTTTACTTTTGAATGTT